CGTGGACCAGAACTGAAGGCTCCTGCCTCTGATGCAGCAGTCTGTCACTGTGCCCTACACTTGGTGACAGGAGCTTCTTGTCGTTGTACAGCTCCAGGATGGTGTCCTGCAAGGCTGTAGCTGTCCTGCTGGTGGTGCATGCAGCTGCCATGCTGGCCTCCCAGACAGACGCCTTTGTTCCCATCTTCACCTACAGTGAACTTCACAGGATGCAGGTAAGAAATTCTTAAGCTGCCCACCTCCCGGGTGTGGCTGAGGTGACTCACAGCCCTGCTCAGCACCAAAGTGGTGTTAGTCTCTCTGAGGCACAAGAGTCCCTTTGGTAAACTCACATTTAATCAGCCATGCCAGTGACACTGAGCCCATCATGAAGAACCAGGACCCAAGATATCCACCTCCACCCCTTCACTAGCACCGCAAAGGTGTCAGTGGCTCCCACAAGTGACAGTGACATCTTTTCCCACCCCTGCCCATCCTTCAGAGGAAATTTTCAATTAACAAGCCAATAAATATTTGCTGAGCATCTCTGCAGCAAAAAGGGCCACCCTGGGTGAGAGGCCAGACATGCAAGGACATCTAAGAACTTCCCATCTTCAAGAAACGGGCTCGGGAGCCAAGACACAAACATGAAAAATTCACTAACAATGGAAAACAAAAGGGCGATGTCACAAGACAGGACATGATTAATTGCCCAGTAAGTGATGCTGATGGTAAGTGCTGAGTTCAGTGGAGGAGAAATCACTGTGGGCTGGTGTGTGTTTGGAAGTCCGCAGGGAAGAGAGGAACCTAAGCTGGGGGCCTCAAGAGAGGACGGAGCAACAGGTGGGAGCAAATGGCCAGGGTGGGAAAGAAGGTGCCTTTTCAGGTAGTGGTGGCCAAATCCTTCTCTTCAGAGCCTGGAAGAAAACAGGGCAGTCTTAAATGGAACTCGGCAGCGGAGCCTGAGGAAAACTGGGCTGCTGACCCTGCCTCCCTGGGCCTTTTACTTTAGACATCAAGGGGTTCTCAGTGTCTATGCCACCTTTATTTCTTTTTAAATGAGATGAAGAAATGGACCTTACGTGTCCCACGTGCCCAAGACCAAGGCTCCAATAGGAACACATACACGAGTCCGTCCTCCGGGCATTGGGGCCCTTGGGGCAACCTCTGCATCAGCGCACTGTCTGGGGACAGGTTTGCACATATCTCATGAACAGCATCCTTGGTAGAGACAAGACTAGACCCAGCTCCTCTTCTTCAGGGGCAGACGTGGAGAGTGACAGAGGAGATGCAGTGAGCCCCCAAAACCTACCTTCCTCCACCACTTGGCTCCCTCAGCAGAAAAGACGACCAACTGTTCTAGAATCACCTTGTCTCAGGGCAGGCCCAGAGCCGAACCCCCAGAGTACTGCCCGTACCAAAGGAATGGGGTGTGTCTGATCTCAGTGCTCAGGGACCTGGCATGCAGGAGGCCCGGCAAGATGTGGGGCTGGACAGAAACAGTCCAAGTCAACAGAACACCAGCTAACAAAATGGCAACCAAAGGACACTTTGCGTTAATCTGCTCTGTGGTTTTATTCCTCTTAATTACCAGGCCCTGGGATTTTTATGAGGAAGCTGCAGACTCCTTCCTCCATAATTCATCTCTCTGTCTTGCCTCTTATAAATCACCTCCCAGGGATTCCAGTTTCCGGGCCACCCCATGGCTTCCTCCCAGGCTCAACTGTCGTACCATCTTTTTTATAGGCTCTTTGCTAAGAAAAACACGTTTTCACACTTAATATGCAGGAAGAGCAGCCATTATTTTCAGCATTTTAACTTAATTAACAGTAACAATCTGGGTGTAATGTCTGAACTACAAAGGAACGATTCCTCTTGGGGTAGATCTGTTCGTGGGCAAATCCGAGGGCCTTAAGCCACTGGGTGTCTGTCACGCCTTGTGCAAGAGACACCTGGGAAAAGGGGTTCTTTTGGCCTAGAAAGCGGGGCTGGGGTTGCTCTGGCCACTTAGCACTCTGGGTAGAAACACGAAGGGGTCCTGGGGTGGTTGAAGGAAGACAGGTTTGTACAATTTTGTGCTCGGCCCCTAGGAAAAGGAGAGGCACAAAGGTCAAAAGAAATCCCTGAGTGTACATAGAGGTCGGGAGAGGTGAGCCCTCTGGACCCCATGGAGCCCACAGAGGAAGAAGAAAAGGACGTTATCAAGGTGAGCAGACAGGGGGACAACGTAGAGAAACCTAATGGGGGAATGGTTCCCTTGGCCACCGCAGAATGTTCCAGGACACAGCAATGAATCAGACTTTCAGGCAGTGAGCTCCATCCTCGCAGGGAGAGACAGACACCAATGATGAGACAATAAACCATTTTAGGCACCAAATAAAGAAATGTGTTAGAGAGTGGGGCTGGGGACACTGCTTTGGCCAGGGGGGGCAGGGTGGGGAAGACCTCTCAGAGGAGGTGACCTTTGATTTGAAGCCTGAAGGATCGAGAGGAACCATCCATGCAAAGAGCTAGAGCAAGAAAATCCCCTAAGAAGGAACAGTGAGCAGAGGCCCTGCTCAGGAAGTACTGTGGGTCAGATCCCAGGCCTAGGGCATGCTGAGAGAGGGCAAGGGGCTGGCAGGGCCTGGTGGGCCAGGTAAGTCATCTAGGAGGCTGTTGGGTGTTCAAAGCCAGGAGGTCACCTGATCCGACTTAGAAAGTTGCAGGGCAGCACAAGTGGAGGCAGAAGACCAATCAGGTGGCAGCTGTGGTCCTCAGGAGAGAGATGATGGGGGTGCCGGTTCCTCCCCTAGACAGGAGCCCTCAGGAGACAGCCTCAGCATCAAAACCCAGGGCCCTAGGCCTTCAGTGCCAAGTTAGGATGCACAGATTGTCGGGGCTGGAGAGAGCTTTGAGTGTGTTTAGTTCAGCTCTTTATTTCACAGACTCATTTATTCAGACAGTGAATACTTACTGAGCCCATGCTATGTGCAAGGCACAGTTCTGGGCCCTCGGGATAGGGTGGTGAACAATACAGGCAATTTCTCTGCCCTCATGGAGCTCACACTCCAGGGGGATCAGAAATAAGATACTGGAAGGACCAGCAATAAACTCCAAGCAGAATAAATAAGCAAACTTTATTGTATATCAGAAAGTGATATGAAAGTAAAACAGGGAAAGGAGATGCAGTGGGTTGTAATTTTAAATAGGGTGATCAGAGCAGCTTCATGAGCTATTGGTATTTGTGCAAAGACCTGAAGAGACAGAGGGAGTAAACCGTAAGGATGTCTGGGGGAAGTGCTTTCCAGGCAGAAGGAACAGCCAGTGCAAAGGCCCTGAGGCAGGAGTGGGGCCCATTGCTTTCAGGGAAGAGTAAAGAGGCCTGAGTGGCTGGAGCAAAGGGAGTAAGGGGGGAGAGTGGGAGGTGAAGCCAGAATGTGGACTTTATAAGCCATTGTTTGGAGTTTGCTCTGATTCTTTTGTGGTGGGAGCCCTTGAGGGCTTTCAAGCAGTGGAGCGACATGGTCTGATTTACACTTTTTTAAATTGAAGTATAGTTGATTTACAATGTGTTAGTTTCTGTTGTACAGCAAAGTGATTCAGTTATACACATATATACATGTTCTTTTTTCATATTCTTTCCCATTATGGTTTATTACAGGATATTGAATATAGTTCCCTGTGCTATGCAGTAGGATTGTTGTTTATCCATTTTATATATAGTAGCTTGCTAATCCCAAATTCCTATTTTATTCCTCCCCCACCCCCTTCCCCCTTTGGTAACCATAAGTTTGTTTTCTATGTCTGTGAGTCTGTTTCTGTTTTGTAAATATGTTCATTTGTGTCATATTTTAGATTCCACATGTAAGTGACATCATATGATATTTGTCTTCTGTCTGACCTACTTCACTTAGTATGATAATCTCTAGGCCATCCATGTTGCTGCAAATGGCATTATTTTATTCTTTTTTTTATTAGCTGAGTAGTAGTATTCCACTATATATATACACATACATATACATATATATATATATATATATATATATATATATATATATATATATATATATATATATATATATATACTATATATATATATATATATATATATATATATATATATATATATATATATATATATATATATACATATACCACAACATCTTTATCCAGTCATCTATTGAAGGACATTTAGGTTGCTTCCATGTCTCAGCTGTTATAAATAGTGCTGCTATGAACATTCGGGTGCGTGTATCTTTTTGAATTGGAGTTTTCTCTGGAAATATGTCCAGGAGTGGGATTCATGGATCATTTCGCAATTTAGTTTTTTAAGGAACCTCCATACTATTTTCCACAGTGGCTGCACCAATTTACTTACTACCAACAGTGTAGGAGAGTTCCTTTTCTCCACAGCCTCTCCAGCATTTATTATTTGTAGCCTTTTTGATGATGGCCATTCTGACCGGTGTGAGGTGATACCTCAATGTAGTTTTGATTTGCATTTCTCTAATAATTAGCGATATTAAGCATCTTTTCATGTGCCTGTTGGCCATCTGTGTCTTCTTTGGAGAAATGTCTGCTTGGGTCTTCTGCCCATTTTTGACTGATTCACATTTTTAAAGAGTCTCCCCAGCATGTGTGTTGAGGTAAAGGCAGAATTAGGGAGACCACTGAGGAGGCTGCTGCAGTACCCAAGAGATACAGACAGACACACAGACAAACAGAGGTCCAGCCCAGGGTGGTCATGGTGGAGGCAGAGCAAAGTGGTCCGATTCTGGAAATATTTTGGAGGTATAAGCTTATGGGATTTGCTGGGAGTAAAAATGGATATAGGATGTGAAGAAAGAGAAAAGTAAAACCGACTTCAAGGGTTTTGTCTGGAACACCTGGAAGGATAGATTTGCCACTCACTGAGCAGGTGAAGCCTGTGGTGGTTCATGCCGGTGGGAGGAAGATCATGAGGTAGACTAGACCTGTGAACTATGAGATGCCTGTTGGGCATCCAGGTGGAGATGTCACACAGGCAGGTGGACATACAAGTCTGGACTTCAGGAAAGGTTAGGGCTGGAGGCATAAATGTGGGAGTCATCAGCAATTACATAGAATTTCAAGCCAGAACAAGGTGAGATCCCCGGGGGCAGTGAAGGGGATGGAGAAAGAAGCCCCAGGACTGAGCACAGGGCATTTTTCTGTAAAGAGGCCTGGAAGGGAGGAGACTGATATCTAAAGACAGAGCATTGCCAAGGTCACACAATGGTCAGGGTAGGACCAGGCTGGACTCCACACCTCCTGCCTCCCAGTGGACACTGGCCAGTGATCTTTCCAACGTCTTGGGTCCCCACAGCATGCTGTCCATAAACAGTGAGGTCACACACGTGGCTGTCACTGTAGGGGGGAGGCTCCTTTCCTTCCCATAGGCTCCCTGAGCACTAGAGGAGGAAGCTGGGAGTAGGTCCTCCACCTGGCAAAGAACTGCCCTCTAAATGCACCTGAGGCTGCATTTCCGGCACTAATTCTGAGGTTCCCTCAGTCCGTGTTACACCAGATGGAACATCTAGGGAGGCTTGGGGTAAGGTACCTCGTAACCCCTTCCCTTCCCCCTAGAACCATGACATACAGGCCATGAGGTCCTTTCTGGGCCATCTAGTCCAGTCTCCTCATTCTAAAGTGAGGAAACAAACCCAGGGAAAGGCACACCCACAGCAAGGACAGCACAGGCAGGGCTGAAACCCTCAGCCGGTGGAGCCACCTCTAAGGTTGTCCTTCAGGCATCCTGAGCCCATTTCCCACACTGCACGAGTCAGGTGGGATGGGGGAGCAAGCCAGGGAGTCTCTCAGTCTGCCCACTGCTGGCTTGTGCAGCAAGACCATTGAACCAGGAGGCCCTGGGGGGGTGATGGCAAGATCCATTGAACCAGGAGGCCCTGGGGGGTGATGGCAAGATCAGTTGGCACTCCTGGCTCTGCCCCAGCAACCTCTCTCGGTGAAGAGCCTCCAGACAGCTCCTCTACAGTCTCACTTGTGTCCCTACGGAGCTAGAGAAAGCGTATCCCGGTGGTCATGGGCATGGACCCTGGAGCCAGGCGCCCTGGGTATACCATCTTCATCCTCTGCCACTTAGTACTTGTGTGACCTTGAGCAAATCACTCTACCCCTTTGTTCTCAGTTTCCTCATATGCAAAATGGGGACACTAATATCCTCTACATCATAGGGTTATTGAGAGGCTTAACATATGGAAAGCATTTAGAATGATACCTGACATGTGGTCAAACTCCACCGCGTGTTATCTGTTATTATTCAGGAGAAGGGGAGGGGTGTTTCCTCCTCAAATGAAAAGCCCTCTGTCCCAGCTTCTCCACCAGCAGTGGGTGGTTGATCCTCCTCCTTACTGGCCTCAGCAACTGCCAGGATCCAGCCCCCTGGTTAGAAATGAGGGGAAGTGGCAGAATTCCCAGCCAGAATCCCCAGAGGATCCCAGAGGATCAGGAAGAGTGGGGCCTGTCAAGTGGCAAGGCTCCCCGCAGTCCCTCCTGCCACCTGTAGGGCACCCAGGGGTTAACGGCACGGCAGACTCTCCGTTGTGGTTAACTCTGCCTTATTTCACAGCTGACTGCGCCTGTGGAAATTGGAGTGAGGATGAACTCCCGGCAGCTGGAAAAGTACCCGGCCACCCTGGAAGGGCTGCTGAGCGAGGTGCTGCTGTCCACCCAGAAAGGTACGGGGAGGGAGGACAGCCGGGCCTGCCCTCCGCGCGCCCGGTGTTAATATTCCAGCAGCGCATCTGGGCAGGGTTTGGGGACTGTGATTTTTTTTCTGCTTTGCACTTGAGAACCTGAGGCTGCCTTCTCCCTCAAGCACTCCCACCCCCTCGCCCCATCTCTGAGGGGAGCCCAATCACAGAGCAAGGCTGGCTCGGGGCTCGGATGGCTGCTGTTGGTTGAGGAGGCCTGATTTGAGGGTTCAGACCTCTTTCTTAAATGCCCTTTCAAAGAGGGCCACAGCAAGTGACAACAACCCCCAACCCTTCCTATGCCGCATATCCGTTCATTCCCTCCCAAAACGCCACTGAGGTCAAGTGGTTGCTCTGAAGGAAACCCTCGTGCAGTCTCGCTGCAAAAGCCTGCATTCCCCCCTCCTCCATCCATTCTGCAAATCGAAGTCCTGAGCCCCATTTGGCCTTGCCAGGTTCAAGGTCTGCCTGGGTTACTTGTGCAAAGTTAGATCTTGTCTGACAAACAGCCACTAATTTCTTCTCATAGTGCCTAAAGGAGAGGAGAGGAAGGGAAGAAGTGTTGTTTGAGGAGGAGGAACTGGGAGGTTGAATTAATAGCCCCAGGCTACAGAAAAAGCTGGAGGTCGACCTCCCCTCCTGGATGTCCCTCCTTCCTCAGACCTGCAGGCAGGTTTTGAAGGCCGTTTCACAAACAGTCCTGCTGACACTTCTGAGATGCAAACCTCCTTTGTTTTTCTCCAGCAGCCAAGTGATGGGCCACTCCAGGGAGAAGGTGGACAAAACTCAGACCCCCACTCCCATCCAGAGAGGGCCCAGAAGTCTGCACAGTCCATCCGCTGGGCTTGGAAGGAAAACACCCTCTCCCAAGCAAATCCCCCTCCAGCAAATAAAGCATGAAATACACAGAAATGACTTTATTTAATATTTTAATTTCTAAAAGTCAGACTCAGGTCATGCCATTAAGGGGAAACTAATAAAGCTCAGGGGGAGTGTGGCCATAAATACAGTAGCAAAGTGTGTGCCTTGTGTGAGTTCTATGTTCAAATTTTTATTTAGACCCACGGAATTAGAAGATTTGTGCCAGCCCTTCTGTTATACGTGAGGAAACTGAGGCCTAGAGAGATGGCACTTTTTGCCCACATGCTGAGTCAGTGGCAGAGCAAGCATTAGAATTCAGGTCTCCTGAATCCTGGTGCATTTTCTGTTTACTGACGAGCTTGATGTCTAATGGACCAGAGCATTTTAAGGCTTCTGCATTCAACCCCTTACTGAGTAACTTCCAGCTAGCCCTTTAACCTCAATGAGCCTTTGCAAAAGCAAGGTGGTGATATCTGCCCTGAGATCTAGGGACGGAGGCACCAGCAAAAAGCAAATGGCTATTATTATTACCACCTTGTGACTCCACATGCTCCAGCATCTGTGGCAAAATTACATAGCTAACCCCCTTATTTCTGCCTTCTAAACAAAACTGGATGGGAAATTTAATTCTAATTTAATCTTACGTTAATGAATGTTCATTTATCTATAAACCGGGGCCATATAGGAACCGCAGTGCCTTCCATCCATAGGTTCCCAGCAATTAGACACAGTTCCCGTTCTGTATTTCCACCCACCCAGCCACTTTGAGGGCTTAGCCACGGATAACAGTCGGAACAAGTTGACTTCCAACCCTTAAAAAGAACCCTTATTTGGGGTGCCCTGAGTGCTCCCCGAGGAACTTTACATGGGACCCAGACCCTGCACGTTCACACAATTGCCAGTGCACATACTGATCGACCCAAGCTTAGCTGCCGGTTCCTGGGAAAAGCTGCCAAGACACCCGGCAATAAATGGAGAGAGGGCTGCAGCAGGGCATGTGGGGAGAGAACGAAGGAAAAGACACAGGAATCTATCTATAAAGCATGCAATTGGAGGAACTGGATCCAGGACTCCTCCTCGCCCTTACAAGTTAGACCCAGCCAGTTCACACCATTATCTGTAACACACTCCAAGAAGCAGAAAAACAAAATGCTCATTGTCTCTCCCTGTGGAAAACAGACTTCGTGCCTTTTCCTCATCTTCTGCTCAGGTCTGCCCTAACAGTGAAACCACCTTCCCTCATCACCAGCAGGGGGCGCCCATTTCTGGGGCTGGGGCCCCAGCACCCACGGGAATTTTCCTTAAGATGCCAGGGGTCGTAGAGCAGTATTGAAACAGGTGCTGTGGAGGGAAATGAAACCCCTAGGAGATTTTGCCCCAGATGGTCTGCATTTTTTTCAAATAGGAATTGGTTCTGCAACCACAGCACCTGGGAAGCTTGAAGGTGCTGTCTGTTCCTCAGAACAACCCTATTCAAAGCTCAGCACTACTGCTGGGTTGTCCCCAACCCTCACCTGGGGGCCTCTGATGTACTTCCTGGTAATGAGCCACAACAGGGACCCAGCCACCACCTGCTTCTGCATGCACAGTGCCCTGGCCGCCTGTTTGGATGTGTCGAAGCCTTTCTTCTCTCGTTTTTCTCCTCTTGCCAGTGTTCAATTTCTTACCATTGGCTCAAATAATTCTTTTTCTCTAACAAGCGCCACCAGTTTTCAGGATAGGGAGCTCGATTGCTTACAGGACACGCACAGCCCTGGAAGAAATTAAAATTGCGGGAGGTTGGGGAGGTTCTGAGCTGAGCCAGGAGAAAATGATCGTGTTTTCACAAAGCAGAAGTAACAAGAGACACACTCGTGATTAAAGCTAGAGGATGCCTAGACCAGGACCTAGCCAGGATCAGAGACAGGGAAAGTGCCCAGAGGAACCAGCCGGGCAAGGTTGCCGCCTCTCGTCACATCTCGCTGAGGTTTATCCAGCAAAATCTGCAAGAATCTCTCCAGATACCTGGCAATTATGGAGAGTTACCAATTACACAGCTTCATTTGGAATGTAGTTTTACACTTAGGACCACGGGGAAATTATAGGGCAACCTGAGCCTAGCTTCACAAGATGGAGATGATGAGGTATTTTCTCGGTAACCACGTCAGTGTGATTTTATAATTACTGAGCTATGTGGATTTGCCATGAAATTGAACAGTTAAAAGCAAAGAGTAATTGCCTGATATTGGTACTCTGTAATTTAGTATAATCTAATCATGGACAAAGCCCAAAAGAAAATGTTCTGAAAGCATTACATTTTTCTTCATACACAGTTCGTTATTGACATCAGGGAATATATTTCTTGCCTCTAAAGGAACTCTTACCCACAGATATCAAGGTATGAAAGTGGCCAAAATATTGAGAGTTTTGTTTCATTTTTAGTCGATTATGAAAAGCAGGTGACATAACCGTGCATTAAACCCATTCGGACATTTCTCTGTGACTCTGACCCCTTCACTGACCTAGAGAGAGGAAAGGGTGACCCTCCTCTGCCACAGGCAGAGAGATGGGGCAACAAGGTGCTGGGTGGAGCTGGGGCCATTCCAGTTCAAATCTGAGCCCAAAATAGCACCCACATTGTCCCCCTTTCCAACTACACTTTTCTAGTGTCCCCACCATGGTGTGATGCCACCCATGATGTGATTTGAAGGAAGCCCAGAATAGCCAAGAAGGATGCACGAGGCCAGTGACAAAGTGGATCAAGGACAAGTCCTGGAGCATCTTTAAGGACCTGATAAATGTGTGCAGGGCTTTTCGCAAGAGGAGGAGAAAGGAACCCACTAAAAGATTTATAGCTGTTATTATTCTAAGGCTCTGCTGAGACAGAGAGAGGTCAGCAGGATGGCAGGTAGCATGGCAGCCCTCCAGGAATCCAGGGCATCCTCCGAGCGGCTCTCATCTGTACTAAATGTGTGGCTGTGGTTACAAAGGAGATTTAGACATGGGAGCTTGTTTTTCCTCTTTTGCCTTTAATAAGTCAGAAAGACCGACCACAACCTGAGCTGCTAGACCTTAAAAAAAAAAAACCCACAACAAAGTGATGAGAAAGGTCACACAGGACAGACATTGACTTTGCAGTACTGCCCTGTTCTTTGACATATGTGTTCCTATACTCGACAGGCCTAGGACCACTGTGGAGACACAGAAAGGCAGATCTGAGAAGGCCCGAAGGGGCCTCATGGGCAGCTCCTGACATGCAGGCAGTGGTGACCAAGGAGCTCTGAGACGGAGCCCTCCAGAGGGGAAGACACCAGGATCACTGATGGAACTGTGGGGATGGTCACATGGAGGAAAGTGGACAGCAACAAATTGACTTCACTGAAGCCTGTAAAAGCACACTGAGGGCAGAGAATGTTGATGGAGGATCCTAAAGACTTACCAGTCCAGGGAAAGGGTGGACTAGAGCAGGGAGTTCAAGAGGAACATGCAAAGGCTAGAGACCTGGGAGGAATGATTGACTTGTGAGACTTTTTTCTGATTAACTTTTTCAATCAGATTGTGAGGCTTCTTCTTGGAGGAGTAGGGAAGGGAAGCAATGATGCTGTATGCTGCGAACATGATGAGATCTAGGCTAGAGGGAAGATAACAGAGGTGGGTTGGGGCTGGGGGAGGGCTGTGGGTCATCTGGCCCTGGGTGTGTGCAGCTGCTAGAACCCCTTACACAAGGAAGGCTGATAAAGCCCACACTGGGGACCACCCCTGGGGGTGGCTCCAGTTCAGTATGTTTTTTAATTGCCCTGAGATCCTCTGTGTTGAAGTAGACCGTAACTCTGCAAAATGCTGTAGTGTTAACTTTGTTTAAGCATCAGTTTCCAGCCCTCTTAGAATACACAAGGCCAGTATTGATGCCGAAAGGCTCATTCTTTATATACTGAACTGCACAGCTGCAAGGAGTTGCACAAATGTTACCAACTCATTTGTCATGCAAACAGTGCTTCAGAAAGAAATAAAATACTATTATGTGGTATATGTGTTAGGCAATCACTATATCAAATTCATGGCATTCCGTGCAAACACAGGCAGAGAAAAGGAAAACAACACTTGGTGAGAGAAATCGCACCACATGGGAGCAGCCAAGTCGGGGGAGATGGAGAGGCTAACTCGGAAGCCTGACCAAGCCGAGGCTGTAATTTTCCAGCAATGTGGCCAGTTACAAATGTCCCTGTGATAGAGCAAGTGGCAGGAAGGCAAACACTGGCAGAGGCGCCATGCCCAGGGACCCAGGGCAGGGACAAGGAGGGTAGGCAATGGGACCATAGGGAAGGAGGGGAGATTGGAGGAAGGGGAGAACTGAATTGGAGGGGTGAAAATGGAATGGAACCTATGGGGCTGGCAGTACTTGTTTGGGAAAGGCAGTTGATGAGGGATGTGGAAGGAAAACAAAGAAGGAGAGGGAGGTGGGAGGAAGACTATGAACCATAGTTTTATTTCCATTTGTCACCACTCCCCATGCTTCCCTTAGAGATTTCTCTGCTAACAGCCTTCATGTAATCAAATAGTATTCCTGGTGGGAGGTTCTACACCACACTGATGCTGCAGACAAATGGATTATGTATAAACACTTAGGAGCAAGTGCCAAGCACTGTCCTGAGCACCATATACAAATTACCTGTTCTAATCCTCACAGTAACTCTATGAGGTTCACTGGCCAACAAGCTAGAAATGTTTTTGTTTTTTGTTTGTTTTTAGAAATGTTAATCAGGTATGATCACATATCTAGTAGTGATGGAGTTGGGATTCGAGGAACCCCTACCTAAATCCACACACGACACAAGGCTAGGTCCCTGGGGTCTTCCCCCACCCATCTCTGCTCAGGAAAATCCCAACATCCGACCACAGGGCCTCCTCCCACAGGCCAGAAGTGCCCATAGGAGCCCATGGGTATTTGGCTTTTCTGCCCCCATCAGGCAGGAGCTCCTTGTGGACCAGCATCTGGCCAAGGGCAGGACCTGCACCCTTTTGAGGCTCAATATCAACGATTGAACGAAGAGCCAGGAAAACACAGAGGCCTGCTGGCCATGCTCTGTGGTCGGACAGGGTCCCAGAGCATGCCTGGGGTCCACTCCAAGACCCAAAAAAGGCCCTTCCCTGAGCACATTGGTCCCCAAGCCAGAAAGAGGCAAAGGATTCTGTCTCCCCACTTTGGGTAGTGACTTGTCTTTCACCATCAAGCAATTCATCCGTTAAATCAACATTTTATTGAGTGCCTACCACGTGCCAGGGACTGCGCAGGGAGCGGAGGATTCAGAGATAAACACCGCGTGGTCTACAGATGAGAAGGACTGAGCAAGATGGGAAAGAAAAAGGGAAACCAAAACCAAAACTAAAACCAAAATCACCTCGGACCTCCCCAACATGGCGACCTTGGAAGCCGAATTTGACCTCCTCGCCATGGCCCTCCTCATCATGGCCCGCCCATCGGGCAGGCGTAGACCCTCTCAACATGGCGGCCGCGCCGACCTTCCCTTCATGGCGTGGGGCCCCGCCCGCTCCGCTGCGCCCGCCGGCGGGAACAGTTCCGGGTACGGTGCGCGCCGGGGGCGACGTCCTGGCCATGGCCGGCCTGTCGGACTTGGAGCTGCGGC